GACATTACCAGCAAAGACAGGGGACACTAGGAAGGCATTTTCTGCCTTGTTAAGCATCATCGGCTAGACATACTCAACCCCAGTGTGGCCGCTGAAATTGCTGTCACACCGAGATTTGAACTCGCGATCTCTCCCGTCAGGGCGAACGTCCTAAAAGTTGAGCTACGAGCTCACGGTCTAGCTGGTTTATATTAGCTATTTAAGTATATTTATCTAATGTTGGGGGTAGCTAACTAAACTGAACTAAAACCCAAACTAAAGCTAATAAAACTATAGAAACACATGACTAGGCGCAGAGGGTATCTAAGGAGGCCGACCAACTTTATTGATACTAAATAAAGCTCTTAGATGACTTAAAGACGGCCAGTGTTTACGGAGAACAGAGTTACTGATGCTCAGCCCACCGCCAAATATTCGTGTACAATCCACCTTGTAAAGGTATCTTATCTACACGGTGCTACGCTGTAAATACACCATATTTTCCATTCCAGCATCATTCTGATAAAATTTTAATTTGGCATTCATTATTACTCAGGAATTAACAGTTACGTTGACAAAATGGGGATATTCTGATAGATATAATTCATTCCAAATGACTTAGTTGGCCATGGAAAATGGTTGACCAGTGTGTTAGGGATTTGATTCTTGAATTCAGATGAATGCTCGTATTCCAGGTGCGTGCATGTCGGTAAAGAAGAAGATGATGATGACGATGAAGAAGGAGAATGCTTGCCAGCGATAAAAATGGCAACGAAAACAAGCAAGTGTTATAGGGGGTAGGCCTCACTCAAACACCACTGACACCAGTCTGGAAGTGACTGCGCAGGGCTCCAGATGTCGGCACCTAATCGAAAAATCTATTGACTGAGTTCTCATTAGAGGCCCAAGCTTCAGGCAATTCCCGTTTTTTTGCTTCTGGTGTAGACTGCGAAGTAGAGCATACGATCCTTTTTCGTAGATGTTAACAGCCACTTTTCGTAATCTGATAGTTTTTCTTATACTGACTTTAACTTGCGGTATTTTCATGCAATATAAAATCAAATTAAAAGATACGAAAGAAAGGGAACCAGCTGCCATTAAAGTAGGAAATTTATGCGAGGAGCAGAAAGACAAAAAATGGACAATATGATTTTCGATTTCTCCTCTTCGTATTCCCTAGTCTGATAAGTAATTTGTAGGTCTCCACGTGACTTAGTAATTCAAGAAGTGGTAAAAGGAAGATTAAGTAAAACGTATGAATTACTCCTGCGTTGCGCTGTAAGCCACGAAGGGAATTTGATTTAACATTTTTCAAAACAGTGTTTTAGTAGAGTCGATTACGAATGGAAACAGAATGTAGTGACCCCGTTAAACTAATTCTGCTGAGAACTACAAAATGCTTATCAGGCCTTGGTCTCTCATACAGAGGCATCCCCAGCTTGTCCTAAAAAACCGTTGTTGGCAACACTCACGTACTGATGTTAGGATGGGTGAATCGGCACTGTAACCAGTGCCGGCTGGTAGCGCAGTCATAATGTACAGACACTGGCCAGCAGCTCCGAGAGCGGACGCATTTGAGAGCACCATTTTCCAGAAACGCAAGACATCGTAGGTTATGGCACCTGAGGGATCGAGCTGAATGATGGCAATACGGCCGTCAAGAAAAAGCGGCATGTCTGAGATCGCAGAGAGGAAAGAAACCGACATGGGTGGTCTGGCCAGTAGTATGATTGCTGTAAAGGTGAAACAGGAAACGGGAATTAGAAAGAGTGTTTTATATCCAAAGGCCTGAAGTAAACCCCGCCATTCAAACACATCCAGCCTGCAAACTTCAGTGGTTTATGACTTCGTCAGTTTTTTCAATATTGCGCTTGTCAATCTAAACTAATGATTCCTTACTACCAGGAGTATTCACACACATTTTTAGGTGATGGAAGAATGCTGCTTCAGGTAAAACTGAACGAAGTGTTCGTAAACTTAGAGTTGAATAAAGCTACCGTCGATTGCCTATATCGTGAAATCCAAGGATTTTTACAAGAAAACACTTGGTACACAAAAGCAATTCAACTTGCGTCCCCAAAGTCCTGCATTAGTAAGGCATCCATCCTTTGAAAAGATAAGACTTATAATAGTTTATTAATTAATACTAAGTTGTTTAAAAATACTATGTTCTTTAAAAAAACGGAAAATTCTGAAAAACGGAAGGATTGGACTTTCTAAATAAACTAAGGTTTTAAATGTAGAAAAAGCATTCTCCTCAAAAAAACCGAATGAATAAGGCGGCATAAGTAGACTTACATTTGAAGATAATCGTTTTGTGAAATCTTCATTTATATTTGCTTCTATAGTAAGCTCAATGCACGGTAAGGCTTGTACCAAACAGTCCGAAGTTCGAGTATGTATTCCAACACAGTTTGACGAGAATTTTCAATAATTTCATCGCTTCATTCATTATTTGCGAGATGTTAGACTAAGAAAACCAGATCTTCGTTTGGTTGCGTCAATTGGAAAGTCAGAGGAGTAAGATATTTCACAAGCCCGAATTTGGACATGCCGATCAGTGACTGATAAATTTAACTGGCATTGTCAGGTGCAATCATAAGCATATCATTTTGTGTACATTAAGAAATATTTCCTTCCGCTACATTTATAGGTAAATATTTCTGGTGTTCGATTATGATGTGATTCATATTGTTCTTGAAATATCGGGTAACACTTTACGATTTTCACTGTTTTCAGTCAATATCCATAGATACGGATTTTGTTCTTCGTACTTACCCAAAGCATCAAGATAAGATATTTTTAAAAGAATTTACCTAAACAGTGAGTTCTTGGGCATTCCTATGCAGCTATCTTTTTGAATCATGGTTTTAGGAGCACCCAAGCATGTCAACTCATTGCCGGGAGAAATGAACGTCCATAACAAAAGTAACAAACCAATATGCCTAAGATCAATGATTACGCTTTCTTTACCAGGCTACGTCTTGGAAAAGCGCTTTAATTAGATATTCCGACGTCAGCTGGCCGCCAAGTTTACCGTTTTCGAAGGTTCAGTCAAGATTACTATACGAATGTTAGACCAGCTTTTGACTTCCCTGAAAAGTATGGATAAGCCTTCCGTTTAAACAGCACTGTACATCTCAAGTCAATTCAATGAACAATGTGTGTTAAACCACCCCCTCAAATTTCGATTTCACAATCCATGTGTTAGGCAATCTACGGCATTGGTAATTGGAAAAATGTACTGATTAGACAACCAATCAGTACACAAAAATTGACCTACTCCTGAAATCTCAAGTAAAATTATGAAGTGTTTCCGATAAGAAAGGATTACCTATATGCTTTATGGTATTGAGTATCTTTTAGCAAAATAGAAAACTGTTTCAGTAACGCCATAACGCCGGCCTTTGAATGAACTTCTTCCGTGCTCTATACAGCGAGGCCACTCGTTGAAATAGTGACTTCCTAAGAACTAGACATCTTTGCATTGCCTTTCGATACCTCTATTGTTTCATCAGTCACAATAATGCTTTTCTTGCATAAAATGTTGCTCATTTTAAGGCAGCTATCTTTTTACTACTAAGCGGGCAAGTTGCAGATAACAAGAAAAGATTCTTTCAACTGAACTTTTCAATGTGCGTTCCAAACAAAGATGCGTTGGTTTCGTGATTTTAAATTTGCTTCATTATTATCACCGTTTTTTTAACGTTGTTTCAAATTGACTGAACTAGCTTTTGCGTAAAAGCCTCACGTGTTGGAGGACTTGCGATTCAAGTAAGCTCTGTTAATGGCGCTCTTTTAAAAGCTTTTCAACGGGCTACATGCGAGCCTCCTCTTAACTGCTCCATCAAAGCAAGAGTATAGAGCGTAGGCTTAAGAGGAATGTTGGTGGTGGGCAGATAGCCGTCTATGTTGCATGCAACTGACGGCCTAAAATAGAACATTAGCGGGTGGTTGAGAGGAAACCATAGAACATTAAACTGTGCATTAAACGCCATTTCACTTCTAGTGAAGTTTCTTAAAGTAATACTTCCCGACATGCTCCAAACACACAGTAAAATAAGAAAAGAATCTGTGGACGTCTGTTTTAGAGTTGAAAATAATCCCACCAAGTAAGTGAGAAGACCAGGTGGTGGGCATACGCATGCACCTCGTCGAGCAAATTCATTTATACACGAAAGAAGTACAAGGTACAGCATACTATATGTAGAGGCCGTAAATTTCTCACAACTGGGTCAATCGAATTATTGAAATCTGCCAAACCTCTAACAATATGTAAGAATATTCAGAAGACCACTCTGTGAGCATGCGCGTGCTTTCAATAAATCCGCGTCGAACTAGAACCGTCATTAATCCCTCTTAAATTCTCCTTACTCAGTTGTATGAAAAGAAGAATACTATTCACTACGTGTTTCACCTTGTAGTCCGCTACCACAGAGATGTACTAGCCCGATGAGTAGTCATCGAATGCACGCATGTAGTTGTTAACTGGTATTCTGAATTCACACTGTCAAGTGTAGGTTTAAAATCAGCATACTGACCATGTATTTGTTCACCCAACAATAAATTTACGAATTACCTGTACAATCCTGTAGATAGTGTTCTATGATTTGATACATTTTGAGCATGGTCTGAGGTGTACAGCCCTTTGCACATTTTATAAAAATATGCACTTGCACGGAAAGTTATGCATTAACTCACTTAAGCAGGACAGTCCGGACGGTAGTCCGGACGTCAGTCCGATTAGCGACTAGGAATAATTGCACATTTACTCACTAAGCTGAAAAATTATCCTAATGACTGCTGTTCTAAGGGTTTATTCAAAAACTGAAGACGAAAGTACGGTTGAGAACTGAGCCCGCATTCACGTTGTCTGTAATGTAAAGTACGGTTTTCTCAACTATCCGGCGAATCACAGTAAATTAATATTTTAAATGCCCTCTGGACTGTGGCATCTGCGATAAGCAAACGTATAGCGCCGTAGACATTGTGCGCAAAATCTTAAATTCTTAGAAGTCATATGCGGACAGACAGCTCCCATTAGAACCCAGAGTGGATAAACCGTTTGTCAACGTGTACTTATTCTTGGGAACTGAAGCCGAACCCTACGTCCAGACTTACCCAATGTTCAGCACCTTGTCGATCAAAGTAGCGTCATGTTTGTTCCACACACGCAAACATTAAATTATTTTGGAAACAAGTCGGTTTTTAAACTTGTACTAGTTCTGCGAAAGTTCCCATTTTACGATTGCGATGTTATATTGGCAAACAATTGTTTTCAGTCAGTCAGCATCAGGCCGGTAAAGTGACCTGGAGAATAAAAATGGTCAATTAATTACAGCGTTTATATGATCGTCAGGTTTGGGGGAGCGGGGAAGGGGGTTGGTGGATGGGTGGGTTTGATTAAGCATCTAGGTTTTCCCTCGTCTCCAGAATGTGGGCGTCAGCACGGGTAGGACATTAGTTGCGATGCGCAGATGCGGAGATGTTCTCACGGTCGCCGGGTTGAGGTCTGTATGTCAGCCGCGCCGCGTGCACTCGAATATTCTCTATGGCTTTGGTTTGTGTGTCTTCGGACGACGTGGCTTCAGGGGGCGTGGGATTTCCGCGTGCAGTCAGCCAAGGGAGGCAGATTGCTTGTACCAGCGCCTTTTGACAGAATAGACTAGGTTTTGCTAACCGGATTGCCACTGCCTCTACTGTTGCTAACACCCATTTGCGCAGGCCTTTGGAATAGTGTTTCGGCGTGTGGTACATGACCCTTCAGGCTCCCCTCGCATCTGCTTGGTGGTTCTGTAGCGACCTTGTACTCTAACAGATGCATGTCCCGCATGTCTGGCTTTCGTTTGCGCCAGCGCGTGCGCGCCGGACGTGTAAAGGTCGGGACTTGTATGGCCTCACTAGCCAATCACTTCTGAAGGCGAGGCTAGTGCACAAACTACGGGGGAGTTGTTTACGCTCAGTCA